CGCCGAGGTGGTTATTCCGCCCGGCCGTCCTCCTATCCACCACCCGGAGACGCGCTCGGTTGGTGGCTCAACCGCGCTCTCCGCACCCCAGTCAAGGGGTTTAGAGAGACCCGAGTCTGCCCACCATAAAAGTTATTAACAAATTAAGAACGGCCACCACGCTCAGTTCTGAACTGCTATATTTTACGGTAGGAGCAGTGCCACGAGTCTGGGGAAATCGATGCATGATAAATAGTCTAGGATGATAGAAGTTCTGATCGTAAAGTGCCTGATTTTAAAATAGTCGGTAGCTTCTTCCCTGAGGTTCTTTCAACTAGCAGGTAGCTCGGCTCGCGAAAATTATTTAGATAGCATTTCTCGGAGGATTAATTGGGTAGCTTTTCTCATTCAGGTAGCTTTTATCGGGAGATTGTTTAGGTAACAGGCAGCTAGGTAAGAGAGTCTCAGAAGACTCTGGTTTAGGTGGCAAAGGGTTTGCAGAGGTTCTCTTTCGCTCTTAGACTAGGTATAGTAACAACAGGTGATAAATTCGATTAGAATTTCGGCACATCATATGAGGCGACGGTTTAATTTCAGCTGGAATAATAACAATACTCTTTCCTCTTCTTCTTCTGCTTCAATTCTCATGATGCTGCTTAATATATGTTCTGCAGGCGTTATCCCGCTGTCGGAACGTTGCAGAAATAACAATACTTTGAAGGTTTTACCTTCGAACTCTACACTCTTTATGATATTCATACTCTTGCCCAGAAGAGCCACCAGGGCAAGTGACGATTCGAAAAGTTGGTAATATGCTCGTGAAAATGACACAGGTACAGTTACAATCGATTTCAAATTAAAAAAATATATATTCGTAGCACCATCGTTCATCAAAAACCTATAATTTATCTTTTGGCAGACGTTAACACGATTGTTAGCAGCACGACAACACGTTATTTTTATTTGTTGATGCTTGGCCTTGTGTTTAAAAGTAGAGATTTTCCCGAGTAGTCCACAAAGGCGCAATATACGTGCATAATGTAAGAAATAATGATATTTCTATGTATTGAAACCTCCAGGATAACAACACTGACCTCGAAAAATGAAAATCGATAAAAGAAAAATCGATAATGAAGCGATAATAAATTTCAACATAAGATGTAGGAGAAACAATGGTTGTTATAACGAAAATTAGTTAAAACCACAGAACTTTAAGGTAGCGACGAACTCGGAAAATAATAATGCTTTTACTAAATAAAGTTAGTAAAATGTACAAAATCTCCATGGACCGAGATTACATGAACAAGAGATCTGAACACTCAAAAATGGCGTAAAATGCCATGGACAATGAGTCCACTACGTTACCAAATCCCTAACAAATTACAATTTCTTCTGTGAAATGAATTTAATCCACCGCTCACCTACCTACTAACTTTCACCTAGTCAGAAAGTCTCTCTAACTCGGCCGAATCCTCCGTGGTCTCTTTCTCTTTCCTAAATTTCCTTCACAAAATAAGAATTGATCAAATTCTGCTGTCGATACTCCGGTGTCAAAACGAGAAGTGTCGTTAATGGCGGACAACAATGCTCAACAGGTGACGAAGCCATACTATCACACAATTGGCTCGTCAGCGACATGAGAAATATTGTAATTGGCTGCCCATTAACGCAGCTAGTGGAGTTAATGTTTTTAACTTTAGATAGAAACCCATCTGACACATAATTAGCAGAAGCTCATATCGGGAATCCTCAAGCCAACATAAATAATAATCTCGGTCTACATTTATTCACATAATGAACCCAGTAATTACCACGAAAGAATTCCGCCTAGTTGCTAATTTGGAGCGAATTAATTTCAAGCTCCGGACGCTAGCGCCACCACTCAGTTTTAACAGGAAGTTCCCCAAATCTAGCGGGAACTCCAAACTCTTTTCTGAACCTCCTCGCCTTCTCTAACGAAGAGACCTATATGTCAGGATCCAAAATCCCACGATGAGTTCAAATGAGCGGTTAACCATGGCTCGATATAATAAAAAATAATAAAAGCAAAAACAGTATCAAGCGAATCTTAGTAATAGACAGACTCTTGCCTCGCCAATGGTTACTTCTCGTCTGGACATCTCAAAAACTTGATAAAAAAAAAGTTGTGCGAAGGGGTCATTGGCGACCTTTGAATTCGGCGTGATCCTGGAAAAGATAATGTCAGGGATACCCACGCCGCGACAGGGTCATCACGTCATGGCACGCGGCGACCACATCTAGTCGTGTAGCGAGAGTAAAAAGGAGCGTCTTAATGGCCTGCAGTTTTCACTCACTGAAGCAGAGCCGCTTTGACTGGCTGTCAGTGAATTTCGTAGTTCGCTTGTTTTCTTATAAGGCGGAAGGCTACCCAAGGTTTGCCTTGACTAGATCTGCTTTCGAGGTTCGAGGTTATTCTCCCCGGTCGGCTCTTCATGTTTGGGGTCACCTGTAGTGGTCCGCCGCCATCTCGGTAGAAAAGCGTCAGTTGAGCTTCATGCTTTCCGAACCTTTCCCTAAGCTCCGGCTGCCATTACACAAGCTCACAGTGATGACATCCGCAGGTGGGTCATTAGCGTTCGAATTCTCGCACGAAATTGTTATCGGTATCCTACAGAGTTCGCACTACTCAATCTTTTTTCTTTTCTATCAGGTAATCATTAGGCTAGACTCCGTATCCGTGTACCCTGACTTTTTCTTCACGACTTAGCATCTTGGGTACCACAAGCCTTCCCGGTTCTGTTCCGTTTGTCATTGGCTGCATCTTATTGCAGGTAGTTTTTTCGGATTTGGAGTTCGGACTCCGGTTTTTCTTTAGATTTATGGGATTTAGGGATTTATGGGCGAGGGCGAGGTTCAACCCCACTCGTGCTGTCTTGTCGTGCTCTTGTTTTTGGATATCTTTGGGATTTAAGATTTGGTTTCTTAATTTAATTGACGAGGCTTCCCGACTGTGGGAAAATTTGAATTTCATGGGATTAAAAATTTGATATTTCACCTCAAAAGTCTTACAATCATAGCTAGTCTCACCCGGTTGCTTACCCGGGGATTCGTGGACATAACTTTAAATTTCTAAACGAAGACAATAACGCGACAAACACAACGACTGTGGCAATTCAGGGGGGTGCTGGTTGTAAACACCCCTATTGATGATATCCAACTCTAAAACATACTCGACAATACCTCACAGATCCCTCCCTTATGGGGTTGGCACTCACAGCCAGATTGTACATCCCGGCGAGATTTTGCAACCAGTAAGCCCATTAACCCACACAGGATGGTATTTTTTATTATCCCTCTTCGCGGCGCAATTAATAGACCGACGCGATTTCCCAATAACTAACTTTTTCCCTTACTATTTATCGATGCCTAATTTCCTTTAAAATCCCTCCATGATCCACTAATTTCTGAATTAGCAGATCAGATCCCCCTTCAGGAACCCCCCTAAATTTTTTTTTTCTACTCTTGGGGAAACCTCCTGTTGGTCCGAGATAAATGCGGAATTCCCATTGATAAAATTCTTGATTTACTATATTTTTATTTTCTCGACGGCAGTAGTCACGCGGGTAGTGTGTGACTCCGGCGGTCATCCAGGTTAAGCAACGCTCAGTTGAGTTAGTACTTGGGTGGGTGCCCGCTTAGTCACACCTCTCGGCGTGCAGACTGCCGGCGTTAAGCACGGGTGTAGAGAGCTGCTGTGTTCACCGAGTCAGTGTGACTGATCAACACAGCAGAATCGCTGCATTCTCGGCCAGCTGCACTACTGCGATTTTCCATGGTTTCCCTCAGTACAAGCTAAACCATGAAAATACTATGGTAATACGCAAAGGAAATGTAAATAAAAAATTTTTTTTTAATATATTTTTATTTTCCTTGTCTCCACCATTAGTGGGACCGCGCGCTCGCCACGTCTCTTTGTCTCTCAAAAAAAAAATGATGCCCGTCACATGCTTTAGTCTGGCTATTCAACACGAAATATTGAGGAAACCCTTTATAAATAACTCTATCATTAGAAAGTACTGATCAAACATCGGCATACTACGTTTTCTCGTGAAGTGCTTTCGATTAAATTTCAAAAACACGTGATTCGTACATAATTTTTAGTAATTCCAATATTTAATCACAAATCGCCATAACCAGGCTTGGTGCAATCGAACCATAATCATTGACCCATTAATAATATTTAATAATCTTGAAGGAGGTATTTTATTTAAATAATTTTTGTAGGTCTAATAAAGAAACTAGAAGATTTGAAACCGGGAAGATGAACAGCAGATGACTATTAGCCGTGCTGGTTTAGCTCTCGTTCATCTTTAATATGAGCAGAGTAATAACAGTGCCTACTGGTGGACAAATACTTCAGGAGTGTGTGGAAACCATCGAACGACATAAAGCGCCAACCTGTAATGTACCCCTTGTACATGGCAGATCCAATCCGACAATTAATCTACGCAACAAACTGACCACTCACCAAAGAAACCATAGCTTGGACTTTAGGTACTTGGCATAATCAATTACTATCTATTAAACAATTTAAAAAATTAAAAAATTGAATAGTGAATACTCCTTATTACGTTTTAGTACAGAAAAGTATATCTAAATTTAATATTATATTCTCCCGTTCTTCTCATATGAAGCATTCGCCAAAAAAACAAACACGAATAGATTTTTAAATTTGGGTTTAGCTAAGTTTTTTGCGAGTAATAGTAGGTAATAAGAGAAGCATTTATGAATTTTTTCAAATTTCTTACTCCAATCGTTCTCGGAATAGGCATTTTCTTAATTTTTTTTTTAATTCATAACTTCTCGAAATATTAACTAAATGCACTTTTTTATCTTTTGAAATTTCGATTTTTAATTATATTTTTATTTTTTGAAGACTCGAAAAATATTGATCGTTTCTAAAGTGATGATTTTAAATTTTTAAGCAAAAATTTTTCGATTCCGACCCGTCGGACGCTTTCTTTTTTGTGAAAAAATTCTCGAAAAAAGTTGGATTTTTTCCATGAATTTTGATATTTTTTTCCATAATGGGGAAGCATTTCCTTCTGTATTTTATTCCAGTTTTAATAGTTTTATCGCATTTTCTTCTATTCTAGAACATCGATACTTGATTTTTTGTATGAAAGTATGTAATTAGAGGTTCCTCGGAATTCTCTCATTATAATATTTCGAATTTCACCCTAGAAAGAGTGAAGTGCACTGTCGTTTTTTTTTCGTTTTAATATTTTCGTCATATTTTCTTCCACTCTGAAAACTCGATACTCGATTTTTTGTTAAATTAGGGGCCTCACCCCCGATTTGCTTCACGCAGGCACGGTAGTTCGATGGTATACAATATAGAACTTGCAGAAAATCAAATGTCGTTTGCGGGATTCACGCAGGATGGTTTGAATGGGGCGGGATTCACGCAGGATGCTTTGAATGGGGCGGGAATCACGCAGAGTGGTGTCCAGAGGGATTGATTCACGCAAGATGGTTCGGATGGGGCGGGAATCACGCAGAGTGGTTTCTCGAGGTATTGACTCACGCAGAATGGTTCAAATGGGGCGGAAATCACGCAGAGTGGTTTCTCGAGGTATTGATTCACGCAGGATGGTTCAAATGGGGCGGGAATCACGCACAGTGGTTTCTCGAGGTATTGACTCACGCAGGATGGTTCAAATGGGGCGGGAATCACGCAGAGTGGTTTCTCGAGGTATTGACTCACGCAGGATGGTTCAAATAGGGCGGGAATCACGCAGAGTGGTTTCTCGAGGTATTGATTCACGCAGGATGGTTCAAATGGGGCGGGGTTCACGTATAGTGGTGTCTAGAGGGAATGATTCACGCAGGATGTTTTTAATTCGGCGAGATCCTCGTCGAGTATCTGCTACTTGGGATAATTTAGGCAGTCAGTTTTTAATAGATTCTATGAATTCAATTCCAAACCAATCAGAACATTTCTGCTTTACGAAGGAACCTCGAACTCTGCAATGATTATTCAAAGCCCAATTTAAAACAGCCTGCTCGAGTCTGAGAACCACTCAATACTTGGGATTCGAAAAATTAAGTCGAATGTTTGCCGTCAAAGAAAACTTGTAAATCATGACTTTTTCAGGAAAACTAATATATTTTGGAATGCGGAAAATTTCAAGGTAATCTGATTCGGCTGCTACAGGTCGTTTAGCCAATACCTGATCAAATGTGCTTTTCACTTCTTTTTCCGGCAAAAAGTCAGATTTTTTACCAATAAAGAAGTTGTACGGTCAACACAAAATTATTCAACGTTGACTAAATTATGAAATTCGTGACGGTCTATCCAATATTAGAACTTGTCCAAACATTGATAGTAAAAATATCGAAAATCTCGATAATACGTCGATGCTGATTTACTCCATCGATTTTTTTAAATGTTCTGCTAATAATGTTCGACAGAACATTCTTGAAAAATTTTTCTCTTCACTTCCTCCAGAATTGTAAATTTTCAATATTTATATCGATGATGATAAATTAGCCTTTCAGTATAAGTGGGGGATTTTTCTAACATACACTTGAACCATTAATCAGTGAAAATACATAGGTGGAATCAGATTTTTTACTTCTATTCCGAAACGGGGCGAAAATAATTTTCCGTGATATGTTGCACAGAATCGAAATGATAGCTAATCAATGAATTAATCATATTGACTTGCTCAGTTGATTTTTAAGGATGCTCTGCTAATAATTGTCGGACATTGTTGGACAAAAATTTTCTTCTCACTTGGTCCAAAATGACCATTTTAAACTTTCATCTTTTGATTATATAGGATGATAATTTGAGTTTTCTCGTCAATGCGAGCGAGCTTTAACAAATATACGCTAACATATTAACAAGTAAATATATTAGTTGTTAGAGGTTGTTTGCTTCGGTTCCACGATGGAACGAAAATAATCTTTCGCAAATTTTGTTTTAAATTTAGCCACCGATTGGCCATTTTCTTATGCAATTTTTTTCCATAAAATGAATTAGATGGCAGCAAAATTTTATTCATTCCTTTTTTGGGTCACGGATAAAATTACATATTCTTCAATTTTAGGATATAACCATTGACATCATTAAACAGTGATAAAATGGAAGACTTGAAAGTGAATTGAATATGTTAATTGCGAACATAGTAAATGCTCAATTTTCATTATCATTAAAAAAGTATATCATCAGATATATGTATAACTCATTCTATTGTATATAAACAAAACCATGTGTGTAAAAAATATGGAATTTACGCGCTTTTTTTTAAAGAGCGTTGTCGTGCAGCCGCATTGCTGACTTCCATGAAGGTTTACATGAGAAGGAGTCGTTCATGCACGGCCAATGAATTTATCTACACTGAGAAAAAAATATCCCATAATGTCGTTAGAGGTCCCTCCAAACATTAGTGTTACTCTCACTAACGCAGGGACGTATCGAGGGCCGCACTAGAAATTCAAAGGTTCTATTAAATAAAAAGCATGGACTGGAAAGTGTCATGGCGGAGACCATGTAAAATGGGCGATTCTCATTGGCTGAAAAAAGTGTCATGGCATTATGTGAAATTGATCATTCTGATTGGCTGAATAAAAAGTGTGGCGTTATTTGGGGGAATTTTCATGCAAATCCTCATTTCATGTAAAAAAAGGAAGGCGCGTCACAGGCGACCGCTGGCGGTGCACTTTTCCATGAGTAA